TCCCTTTAGCCAGTTCTAAGTCTAGCTCCAGGCAATACTAAGGCATCATTATTCAGTCATTGAACAAACATTTAATGGGAACCAACTATGTGCTACACCATTCCAGGCCCTGGGGATACAAAGGAAAAACAAAACCGTCCTTGCCCTTGAGAAGCTTACTTCTCAAGTTGTCATTTATTCTGTTGACGGAAACAACATGTACAAACATAAGTAAATAGAAAAAATATATACAAAATTTGGGCAGCTAGGTGGTGTCATAGTGCACAGAGTGCCAGGCCTGGAGTCAGGAAGGCTTCTCTTCATGAGTTCAAAACTAGCCTCAGACACCTACTAGATGTGGGACCTTGGGCAAGTCACTTAACCCTGTTTATCTCAGTTTCCTCATCTGCAAAATAAGCTTGCAAAGGAAATGCCAAACCACTCCATTTCCTCTGCCAAAAAAACCTCAAATGGGGGTCACAAAGAGTTGGACATGATTGAAATGACTAAACAAAAAAAAATACACCAGGTTTAACGGAAGGTAATCTTTTTGAGACAGAAAGACCCTACCAGCTCAGGCATTTGGAAAGATTTCACTAGGGACTGGCACGTGAACTGAGCTTTCCCAGAAACTAGGGACTCTAAGAGGCAGAGATTAAAAAAAAAAAGTACCCAGACACCTTCTAGGATAGGAAATGGCATGTTGTATGTGAGAAACAGCAAGTGAGCCAGTTTGGTGGGACCATAGAGCATGTTAAAGGGAATAATGTGTGATAAGTCTGGAAAGGTAGGTTCAAGTCAGACCATGAAAGGTGAACAAGAATTATGTCTGTTTTATCCTAGCGTCAGGAGGGAGACACAGGTTTTCTGAGCAGAAGAGTGACAAGGTCAGATTTGTGCTTTAGGAATGTCACATCCATCTGCAGCTAAATGCAGGATATATTTGAGAGGAAAGAAGATGGGGACCAATTAGGGAGTTATTGCAATAGTACAGGCAGGAGGCAATGAGGACCTGTACCAAAGTCATTGCGGTAGGATTTTTTTTTCCTGCAGGATAACATATGTAAGATAAGATTCCTTAGGTCTTGGAAATTTAATGCATTTGTAAGGAATGCAAGTACAAAGACTTGAGAATGACTTTGAGATTTCAAAGCTTTGATTGGAAGGATAATGGTGCCCATGATATAGATAGGGAAGTTAGGAAGAGGAGTGGGTTTAAGATGAAAGAGAATGAATTCTGTTTTGTATATGTCAAATTTAAGTTGCCCTTGGATCTTACAATTGGAAATATCTATTAGTTAATTGGAAATATAGGACTGGAGTTCATGAGAAGAAAGATAACATCTCTCAATATACATTGCATTTATAAATATGTGCATAGAGATAATAATTGAAGTAATGGTAGCTGATGAAATTACCATGGGGAACATATACAGAGGAGAGAATAGAACTCAGGACAGAGCCTAGGACTATGCTCCTGGTCAGCTGGCAGGACATAGATGATGATCAAAAATATTGATCATGTAAATGGTGAAAGGATATCAACAAGCAGTACTCGGATGAAGAAATTAAAGCCATCTATAGTCATATGAAAAAAATGCTCTAAATCGTTATTGATTAGAGAAATGCCAATCAAAACAACACTGAGGTACCACATCACACCTATCAGATTGGCCAACATCACAAAACAGGAAAATGATAAATGTTGCAGAAGATGTGGGAAAATTGGAACACTAATGCATTGTTAGTGAAGTTGTGAAACGATCCAACCATTTTGGAGAGCAATTTGGAACTGTGCCCAAAGGGCTATAAACATATGCATACCCTTTGACTCAGCAATAGCATTTCTAGGCCTATATCCCAAAGAGATCATACAAATGGGAAAAGGACCCACATGTACAAAAATATTCATAGCAGCTCTTTTTGTGGTGGCAAAGAATTGGAAATTGAGAGGATTCCCATCAATTGGGGAATGACTAAGCAGCAAGTTGTAGTATATGAATATAATGGAATACTATTGTGCTCTAAGAAATGATGAACAGGCTGGTTTCACAAAAAAAAAGACTTGTATGGTCTGATGTGAGTGAAGTGAGCAGAACCAGGAGAATGTTGTATGTAGTAACAGCCACATTGTGTGATGACTAATATTGATAGACTGAATCCTTCTCAGCAATACAAGGATCTAAGCCATCTCCAAAGGCCTCATGATGGAAAATGCTATCCACATATGAAGAAAGAACTATGGAGTTTGAATGTCCATCGTAGCATACTATTTGCTTTTTTTTTCCTTCTCTTGTGTTTTGTTTCCTCCTCCTGGTGGTTCCTCCTATTGGTTCTAATTCTTACTTACAACATCACTAATGTGAAAATATGTTTAATAGGAATGTATATGTATAGTCTATATCAGATTGCACGCCGTCTTAGGGAGGGAGGTGGAGAGGGAGGGGGAGAAAAATTTAAGACTCAAAAGCTTATGAAAGTGATTGTTGATAATATAAGTAAATTAATTTTTAAAATAAAAAAATATTGATCATAATTATTTATACTAGAGTTGATGATCAACCTTCAATGAACTCCTCCTCCCATATCTCTTTCTGGCATGGTGGTGTTGATCGGTTACCCCTGAGTTCAAACACTATGCCAGCAAAATGCAAGTTCTAGCAGAGACTAACAAGTTGCCAAGATTCTAAATCCCAGCAGATGATGGGTTGCATACCTATCATTCAACCGCCAGCCTAGTCCACACCTGAGAAGCAAATTCCAAGAAGGCTGGTCATCAGTAGATGAAATTAGCAACGCCACAGCAACCTGTAAAGTCATCTGGAGGTGAGGAGGTGTGATGTGTAGGGTGGAGGAAAGAAGTTCTAGCATGCTTTTTATGTAAGGAGCCCCACAATGATAAAATCATAGCCCTCTTGGAGAAGAATCAGACAAAATGCATGTCATTATGTTCTTGTTCATTTTAAATAACTTGAAAGTAATATCCAAACCACCACATACTCTTTGCCAGAGTTATCAGTAGCCAAGTGGTTGTTCACTCTTGTAAGTGAAGAAAATTATGTTATTCTGTGTTTCTTGGGGTTATAAACAATCATCATATTCATTATCTGGCCACAATACTTTCCTCATCATCTGTGAGCATGTATCTCTCAGATTTTCTTTTAATGTTTATAAGATGTCAGCCCAATAACAATGTGATAATGAACATTATCAGTAACTGAAGTGGGATGATTTGAATCTTTGAAGCAACATTTCATGGGTAAAAGGAGATTATTTGGTGGTGGTGGGGGTCTCTCAATGATAGAGCATTGCCTTTGCCTGGGAATAAAATGCTTAGAGACAAGTGTTGAAAGCAATTGTGAAGCTACCCTTTGCTTTTTTTAATCATTAGGAGAACAAGTTACCTTGTATGATACTGTGTTCCACCTTAATAGATTACCCCTTGGTGTCTGGGATAACTTGGGGGCTTTTCTTTAGAGGTGGACACCCTTTTTTTTTTCTGATCACCTAACTAAAACATATGGCATGGGACTGGGACCCAATTGTCATTGGTTGTGTTTGTGCTGCTCTCACCCATAATCTGTGCCTCACATTAGTTCTGTACTAAGCACCGCTTACAGTATAATTTTTCTCTGCTCCTTGAGGATGTTTCAGTGAAGGAACAAAAGGAGACCAGCACAGCCGCTGCCATTTGTTAGATTTGCTTGGGGTTTTTGGTAGATGGAGAGAATCATGTAATGATGTGTCTAGGAATAGAAATGGAGTTGGGAACAATATAAGTTTGGACTTCACATTGCTCTTTGGGGCCAGCCACTCTAGCCAGGGTACTATTCAGTCAATTTCTGATTATAGGAAGAGATACACTTTATTTTCTTTTTTAACCAGATTGTGTGGTATCCAGGGGTGGATTGCCAAAAGGAATAGAATTTGTTGGAAGCAGGGAGTTGTAAATACTAACAAAAGGGATTTCTTCCCTAAGCCAGCTGTGCACCATGTTTAAAAAAAGAAAAGAAAAGAAAAAAGGAACGTGAAAAATACTAATTTAAACTGCAGTAGCTTGAGATTGTTTGGGCATTATTTTTAGAACATAGAAAAATGAGAGAGTGCAATTTAACCATTATTCACAAAGCAAATTCTTAAAAGAGCAAATACAAGTTAATTTTCATGATTATGGAATGATTTCCAAAACAACCATAAGAAAAAAAATTCAAAGACTTCCTTTTCTGACTGCCAATTTCATTTTAAATAAATTATTTTCAGCCTAATTATAATGAAACTAGCAAAGCTACTAGCCCTGCTATGTTTGGATTTCATTTGGACTTCCTATTAGAAAGATCATCTTTCAGAATTTAATAAGTGACTTTCAAATATTTAATGGTAGAATCTTTCATTAAATTAAAAATGAATCAGAGTATTTTTAAAGAACTACCTTATTTTTCTCATCAATTTTGTAAAGCTTTATTACAAAGACAAGCAAAAATTAAAACAATCCCCTTTGCTTATTTAAAAAGACATTAACACCATGAACCAGGCCAAAATCATATTTCCACGTGTCTAATATGTACATCCTATGGGTTCTGAAAGTAAAATATGATGGTAATTTGCAATAACATCTTTCTTTGTTTCCATCTCTACCTACATGGCGAGTTATACTGACGTTGTCAAATGGTTCAAGTGACTACTTCACAATTATCCTCTTTGATATTTATTTTTATTTCATAAATCTGCTTTACATTGTGTGGTGTCAGTTTTTGTATCATCCAACAGTTTTGTCTTGAGTTCTGCTTTGGGCAATGTGTTAATATAGATTGGAAAAGATAAACATTCCACCATTCTGGTCCCATGTGTCACTATATAATAAATGATACGATGTCATCAAATTGAATAATTTACAAGCACCTCTAGAACTTGAATACTTTTACACAGAAGAATGTGGTGAGTCCTTTTAATTAAATTGCACTGTGCCATGTGCTTTTTCCCTGAGGTTCTTTTGACCTTTCACCCCTTATTTTGTCTTGCAGGCACACCACTGTTAGTGAGGAGGAGCAGTGACCCAGCACTGGGCCCACCTGCTGATTCTCTTCCAGGTGCTTCACACCCCAGTGACCAGAATCTGAAACCTGTTGTACCAGTAAGTGTCCTGCAGTTTCCATTTTTTATAGAAATGTTACAGACCAGTTAGCTTATTTGGTAATAAGCATGTGTGTGTGTGTGTGTGTCTGCACACACATACACACTCACACACATACACACACACAAACATACACACACATTTCTAAATATGTGTGTATATCATACACACAGAGGTATATGTTACATACATACGAAGTCTTCCTTGCTCCTAGCTCCCTACTCCCTAGGAAAAATACACTTATAAATATATGTGTATATGAAACATATTCCACATTCCTTTCAAATGCATCTTATAAAATAACAGAGAAAATTGTATTTTCTCTCATGTATCTTTTTCACAAAAATTAGTATGAATATTTTGTGACCAATTATGCTATTTTCATAATACTTTTGGATATGCCACATATTTTTGGTCTGTTGGAAATTAAATGTTTCAGTGTTATTAGTAGATGGACATATTTACAAGCCATTAAAGTTGAACAGAAGCAATAATTTTATAGAGTTTCTAGGGTCACTATCATGCAAAACTCTTTAAAAGAATGCCTTCCCTAAGATAGAATAGTGACCATTTATTACTTGGGTGAAAGATTTTAGCATGTTTAGCACAAAAGGAGGTGAGAAAGTGATAGATAAGAATATGTACTTTAGGAAATCCACTCACTCTCAGTTTTCCATTCTGATCACTTTTCCCCTGGTCTTATAGGAACTTTTTTTTGAAGTTTTTATTTATATTATTTTTAATTTATGGAATAAAACAAGCATTTCCGTAACATAGTATAATAAAAAGGACAATTACACACAAAATGCAAATCGATTATGTACAACTTGTTATTCATTTTAAATATATAAATTATCATGTAAATTTCTTTTATTTTCTTTTTTCCCTTCCCCCACCCTAGAGATGGTTACCATTAGACACAAGTATGTATATATCTTTAAAATCATTTTAACATACTTCTATTTATTAGTTCTTTCTCTACATGCAGATAGCATCTTCCTTCATATGTCCTTTGCAGTTAATTTGGGTATTTATAATACTCAAAATGACTTATTTCTTCAAAGATCTTCTTAAAACAATATTGCTATTACTATATACAACATTCTCTTGATTCTGCTCATTTCACTCTTCATTATTTCATGCAAATGTATCCATGTTTTTCTAATATCAGCAATCTCATCATTTATTATAGCACAGTAATATTCCATCACAATCATATACCACAACTTGTTCTGCCATTCTTATATTTATTTTATATTATATTATATGATGTTATTTTTATGTTATATTTATTATGTGATATTTCTCATAGAAAGGAGTTTTGATCTTTGATATTTAATCCAATTGACCAGAGCGTGGCATTAATGGCATTAAAGACAGGGGAAGAGGTTGACTCTGTGTATATTTTAAATGAAAACATCACAATATAATAGCCTCAATAATCTAAGTTTCTAAAGTTGAACCAACCACAAATAATTAGGCAAGTCACTACACACTGCTGTGTGTCAATTTTAAAAGAGTAGGATGGAAGGGTGGTAGAGAACTTTCAAAGACTCTGTATTGACTTTTTCCTTCATAGGATTATGGCTATACGAAGCCGCTTGGTGTTCAAGCGTAGAAGGTTGAGTTTTAGTCCTGGTTTTGCAGTCAGGTTACATAATTGTGGATACATAATTCACCTCACTTTAGATAGTCTCCTTTTTCTTCATCTGTCAACCAAAGGGCCTGGACAGGGTCTTGAAAGAAAGATCCAGCATTCAGTGATGATAACAGCAATTCTGATTTCATAACATTTAAGATCCACACAGTACTTCCTTCTTTATAGCCCTGTGAGGTAGTTAGTGAGACAGGGGTGGACTATCTCCCTAAAGCAGCAGGCTTGAATTCCTTTTGATGACACATAACCCCAGAAGGTCTTACTCTGAGGTTCTGTGCTCTTTGCTCCCTGTTCCCTAGGAAAAGAGCACAAATTACTGGCCTCCTAACAAATGCCCAGATTCCCAAAGGAAATACAGAGTCATATACCATGAGGAGAGATAGGCCCCCCTCTACTTTGTGTCAAAAGGAAAGTGTTGGGAGTGGGAGACTAAGCAAACAAATAAAACACATTTGTGAGGCCTACAATGGAGAGAAGGAAAATACTTGGAGTCCATTTGATACAGCCTTTCCCCTAGAGTCCCTACATAGCTTCATTTACCCACCTTTTGGACATTGTAAGATTTATGTTTTCATTCTTTCAGCCAATAAACATTGATTAAGTACCTACTGAATAAGCATGATATTAGATTGTAGGTAGTGAGGAGTACCTTTGATAAAACACAGTCTCTGCATTCATGAAACTTACAGTCTATTTAAGAGATAAGACACAATCCCCAATAAATATAATACATATTACATGATGAGTACTTTAGAGAATTGCAAAGTGCTGTGTGCAAAGTCCAAACCAGGAATGTAGTTTTCAAGATTGGGAATGAGGTGGGCTATAGGGGCTAGCAAGGAATTGGAAAAGGATTCTTTGTTGTGTTTAAAGCTAATGAAATGGTTTTTGTCTGCTTCCGGGAGCCAAGATGGTGGAGTGAAAAGGTAGTTGCTCTCACCCTCCCCTATCAACCTTTGAAAACCCAGAAAATATCACCCCAGAAAAAAAAAAAACCTGGAACAGCAGAAAGACAGGGAACAGCAGTACAGCATCCCAGCAAACGGGTCTCCCAGTGCCTCAGCAAAAATAAGACAAGCAGCACTACAAAGGGCGCCAGGCAAATAAGCAACCTGCAGCATTCATCTGAAAGGAGCTGAAGAAAGCAACCTAAAGTCTTCCTGAAGTCTGAGCCTTGCTGATTCTAGCCCAACTCTCAGAACCTCCAACTGTCAACCAGGAAGAAATCCTGAAGCCCAGGTGGTAGAGCAGGCAAACACCAACACCTGGACCTCCAAATGCCTCATTGAGGGCGAGAAAACCAGCTCAGAAAACCACCGGGTGCCTTGGTACTCTACTGCAAAGAAATCTCCCAGTGCGTTAGCAGAAACGAGGGAGACAACACTGCAAGGGGCCCCAGGCAGATAAACACCCTGCAGCACCCTTCTAAAAGGAACTGAAGAAAGCTAAAGGAAAGAAAAAGCAGGCAACCTAGAATCCTGAAAGTTCTAGCCTTGCTGATTCCAGCCCAGCTGCCAGAACTCTACAGCTTCCAATTGCCAACATGAGAGGCCCCAGCACACAAAGCCAGTGACCAAGACCTAGGCTCCCAACACAAGAAGCTTGGGTCAGTGCCCTCTGTTCCCCAGCAGGAGAGCTCAATCTCTTTAAAGGCCAGGGAATAAAGAGACACCATGAGGAAAAAGAAACGTACCATAGGTTCATATTATGAGAAGAGTGAAGATCAAGACAGAAATTCTGAAGAGGATAACATTGTCAACAAACCCATATCTGCAACATCAAAAGGGAATATGAACTGGTCTGAAGCCCAAAAAGCCTTCTTAGAGCTCAAGAAGGATTTTAAAAGTCTAATGAGAGAGGTAGAAGAGTCCTTCAAAAATACAATTGGCCAATTGGAAAAAAAGTATACTGAAGAAAATAAATCCCTTAAAAATGCAATTGGCCAATAGGAGAAAGAAGTACAAAAACTAACAGAAGAAAACAATCTGTTAAAAACTAGAATTGGACAAATGGAAACTAATGACTCTATGAGAGAGCAAGAATCAGTCAAACAGAAACAAAAAAATGAAAAAATAGATGAAAATGTAAAATACCTCATCGGTAAAACAACCGACCTGGAAAATCGATTCAGGAGAGACAATTTAAAAATTATTGGACTACCTGAAAATCATGGTGAAAAAAATCCTGGACACTATCTTTCAGGAAATCATAAAGGAAAACTGCCCTGAAGTCCTAGAACCAGAAGGTAAAATAACCATAGAAAGAATAACCAGTCACCACCTCAAAGAGATCCCAAACTGACAGCGCCAAGGAATATAATAGCAAAATTCCAAAATTACCAGATGAAAGAGAAGGTGCTGCAAGCAGGCAGAAAGAAACAATTTAAATATCATGGAACCACAGTCAGGATTACACAGGACCTTGCAGCTTCTACATTAAAAGACCGCAGGGTGTGGAACATGATATTCTGTAAGGCAAAGGAGCCAAGGATCAACTACTCTGCAAAAATGAGCATGATTTTTCAAGGGAGGAGATGGATATTCAATGAAATAGGGGACTTCCAAGCCTTCCTGATAAAAAGACCAGAGCTCAAAAAAATTTGATCTTCAAGTACAAGATTCAAGAAAGACATGAAAAGGTAAATGGGACAGAAAGATACAATATGTTGTTAATAAGGGTGGACTGTTTACATCCCTACAAGGGAAGATGACACTTGCAACTCTGAGAACTGTATTGTTATTACACCATGTTAAAGGAGTATACATAAAGGGGGTGGATATTAGTTGACTTTGATGTAATGATAAAAAAAATCTAATCAAGTGGGTTAAATGGATCCAAGTAAGTGGATTAGTCTGATTTTAGAAAATGTACTGAGAAAGGAGGAGGCAGAAAAGGGTAAATTACATTACAGGAAAAGACAGAAAATCCTATTACAGCAGAGGGAAAGAGGGAAGGGGATGAACATTGTTTGAACCTTACTCTCATCAGATTTGGCTCAAGAAGGTAATAACATAATCAGTTAGGTATAGAAATCTAACTTGCCCTATAGGCAGTAGGAGGGAAAAGGGGAAAGAAAAGGGAGGAGGGAATAGAAAGGAGGGAAGAAGCAGTAAGGCTAAAGGGGAAGAAAAGGGAAAGGGAGGGAGGGACTGAGGGAGGTGGTGGTCAAAAGCAAAACACTAATGAGAATTTGTACTTACAACTTCACTAATGGGAAAATATGTTTAATAGGAATGTAAATGTATAGCCTATATCAGATTGTGCACCATCTTGGGGAGGGTGGTTGGGAGGAAGGAGGAGAAAAATTTTAAACTCAAAAGCATATGGAAATGATTGTTGATAA